GCCTCTGGTAATTCCAAGAAATTTTCCTCCTCTAGAAAATGTCTAGATTATTTTGGGAGCTTGCTGAAGCCATCTTGGATTGTCTCTTTATGTGATTTGATACTGACTGTTGTCTTCGAGCCATCAATAAGTTATTATATATATTTTATGTTTGCTTACTGTGTCCTAGCTTCTTGTTTTGTTTTGATATGCCCAAATATACTGCTAGTATGAGCTAGTTTGATTATTGGCACCTTTGAAGTTCTAATATCCTGTCACCAGGTGGTTAGATCTGTTACTAGGTATGTGAGCCCAGGAGTTCGCCCACTTCTCCTATATGGATTCAGCTCAAGTGCCCAGGTAGATAGCCACTAAGTGTGTGGTGTAGGCTCTCACCTACAGTCCTAGACAGGCATGGGTGATTGGTGTAGGCACAGGTATCTGGCTGCAGCAGGGGGACACATTCTGAGCACGGCAGGGGGCTGACGGCTGCACTGGAGTGTCCAGGAGGAAGGTATGTCCCTGTTCCCTAGAGCATGTAGGTGAGTGGGTTTTGCAGCGGGACTATTAGTGCCTAATGCTTTTGGCTGTTAGGACTGGGGGGCGCTTCTTATTCACTGGCCCCTATCGCAGGTGGCTAGTGGCATGGGTGGAGCCACCAGTCCTCAGGCCCCTGATCTGGGTAGATGAAGACCCTGCTTATTGGGAAGAGCAGTGTCAAATGTCGAGAACCTGCCACTTCACAGCTGAAACAGTTGAAGTTAGAGCTGCGTTATATTCCCTAAGGGGAGTGTTTTTGATTTGCGCAGTAAGCTGTATGCAAGTACTAATCTTTCGCCAGTGAGGGCCGCTTCTCACTGGTTCTGGGTGGCTGTGTAGAGTCTCTTGTTCTGGGTCTCTCACAGTGCGGAAAATGCGCCTCCCGAGCACGGCTGCTTGCCTGCTTCACCGCTCACCCCCGAGCTGCTAGGTCTGAAGGGCTCAAGCTCTCGCTGGGTCAGGTCTCGAAATGCCTTGCTGCTTCTGAACTATCTCTCCCTCTTCCTGCCACTCAGTCCAGTTCCTCAACTCTGCCTTTGAAGTCAGGGCTCCCAGACTGCCATGTATAATCGAATCACTTTTTTTGGGTCTTTGTTGTAAGAGGGTCCACTGGAAGTGTCTGACTACACCGTCATCTTCGCCCCGGCCTCTGTAATATCTTCTTAGAGTAAATTTCCCATTCAAGTCCTTTGCCCATTTAAAAATTTTTTGTTGTTGTTGTTGTAGAGTTGTATGAGTTCTTTATATATTCTGAGTATTAAGCCTTTATCAGACATATAATTTGCAAATATTTTCTCCCTTTCTGTAGGTTGTCTTTTCATATTGTTGAAAGTATAGTGCTTTAGCATACACATAAGAAAAAGTCCCACTAATAAACTTTGTCAGCTGCAGAAAGCTTGTTTTCATAGAATGTATACAGTATTTTAGTCTGTAATAAATGTGCAAAGCGTAGAGTGATTTTACACCCTGGCAATCTTAGACTTTCTAGGTAATTATGTTTTTTATCTTCTAAGATTATTATTTTGTTTAGGCTTCTGTATGAGCCTGTCTCTCCAGTTTTCATGGAGGCAGTTTATCTTGTGACCTCAATTTTCTGATGGATCTAAGAAGGGCTGTTGATTTTCAGTTTTTCAGCTCTTGTTGTGGAGATGGAGATTGGAATGATGACTTCCAAGCTTTTTACATGCCGAACCATAAACTTCAATACCACATATTTTGTGATTCCATTTATATGAAGAACAAAAAAATCAGCCATTGAAAGCCCTGTGGAGTTCAGTGCTTCTTTGACACGCATGGGGTCGCCATGAGTCGAAATTGACTTGACAGCAACTGTTTTTTTGTTTTTGGGTTTTTTTTTTTATTTTTATTTTTTAGTTATTGGGAAATGACTCTGAAAATATTAGGAAAGTTAGGTACCATTATGTTATTCATTATACTCATGAAGTGAAATCAGGTTTACCTATGTTCCTTCTGACAATTCTGTGGTAAGTTTTAGAAGGCTGAATACTTGGTTGATTTAAAAAGGGGCAGATTATCTGGTATAAGAATTATATGAAAACTTGAAAAACAAGCAACTCAGGGCATTATATTAGGAAAATGAATTTTTTTTTCCTTCCATACTTCCTGTATATAGGGGAGAGATGTCTAGCACAAGCTACATCCTTGTAAAAACTTTTAAAATCATATGCAAAGATAAAAATCGATATTAAGCCATTTGTTAAAAAAAAAATGAACCTGTTGAAATCTCTAGGTAACTCCAATTAGATTGCAAGTTCCTTTGAGAAAGACACTTTATTTTTTTCATCTTTACATCCTTTGACATCTAACTCGTTGCCTTTTCTGCAGTGAGTCCTCAGTATTCGTTTGCTGTGTTGAACAAGACTTGAACAAGAGGAATTGTGTGTTGATCCAGAATAGGACAGGATTGCTAAAAGTGAAGTTGATAAAAATATTCCTATATCACTTGAGCCTTCATCTTAGCTTTCTTTGTGTTCTTCCTGTCTCTGTGTTATGAAGCTCAGTTAAAGAGGCTGGACATAAAATATGGTTTTCCAGGGTTGGCATATTAGTTAATTTCTTTCCCACACCTATAATCCATAAGGCTGTGAAAATGGTTGTTTTCCTCCAATGCAATTTAAGGAACATTTGAAATATATTAGTAGCAAAAAGTATTAACATATATTTTATAGTTGATTTTAGGAGGTTCCTAGAGAAGCTTAAATTTTATAGACAAAATAATGAATTGTAAGTTAGAGAACAACTGGCAAGTAAATGATCTTGTATTTAAAAAAAAAAAAAGGAGAAGAAAATTGTAAAGAGAAAAGTTAATGACAGATGGAAAGTATAAAGGAAAAGAAGATTAATGGAAAATAAGAAAAATATATTTTTAAGTTTACCTGTAAGTGAAATATTTGTAGGCATACATATAAAAACAGACTATTCTGTTAAATCAGATAGATGCATAGTAGTTATAAACAGCTCTGCAATGTCTTTTTCATCATACTGAGGTTATTAAACAAAATGACCTGTTGGCCCTGGGGGAAGATCCTTGTCTCTTTTCAACTTCTGTTTTTCAGTTCTTTGGTGCTTTTCATGTGGCATGGCATCAATTTTCTGTATTATTAGACTTTTTTTTTTTTTTAGATCAAGCATGTTGCTCTTTTGCAATTTAGATAAATAAGTTTAAATTTCAGAGTAATTATTTAAAAAGTTAAAAATTATTTAGTACTGTATTCTTTTTTAAGAACTTTAAATCTCACTTTTTAGGAAAAAGATTTTTTCCTGTTCATTTAACAATTCAAAAAAAAGGATGAAAAAAGATTTAAAAATGAATTTAAAAAATTAACTGGCAAACCCTATGTCTCTATCCCTTTACAAGATAACTCATATTTTAGGATATGTTTTCTTTTTAATCACCGTTTTCCAGCAATTTGATTATAATGTGTTTCAGTGTGGTTTACTTTATGTTTATTCTGCTTGGATTAATGACGTTCTTCAATCGGTGAATTTATAGGTTTCATCAGATTTGGACAATTTTTGCCATTATTTCTTTATAAATCTTTCCTGTCCCCCCCTCCCGGCACACATGCTTTCTGGGACTTCATTCATGCATGTGTTAGATCATTTGATACCGGCGCACATGTCTCCAATCTTCTGTGTTTTCTTTAGCCTTTTTTCTCTCTGTGCTTCAGTTTTGCTAGTTTTTATTGCTGTGTCTTCAAGGCCACTGACCTTTTTTTCGGCAGTAGTTTATCTGCTAAGCCTGTCTAGTGATTTTTATTTTTACTTTAGACATTGCATTTTTCATCTCTTAAAGTATCAATTTTATCTTTTTCTTCAAGTTCCTGTTCTCCTTTAAATACTTTAACATATTTATAGTCACCCTGAAAGACCTTTTCTGCAAATTCTGTCATCTCTAGCATTTCTGGGTCTGTTTCTGTTGGGTTTAGCTTGATTCTGTGAGCTATTTAACTTGAGTCTCCACTTTCAGTACCCCATCATCATTTAGATACACAAGGCTCTTACGAGGAGAATAAAACTGTGATGTGAACCAGTATATCATTTTGTCAAGATTGAAAGGAAATTTGAACTAAGGTCAAAAGGTTGCTTTTGAAACAGATTTGAAAGAAGCTTAAGTCAATGTGGTATTTTCTGGTTGCTTTGTAAAAAACTGTTTACTTTTAGGCTTTAGCTTTTTGGAAATCAATAATAGTTTTTGCTTACAGATTCAAATAAGTCTTTGTTAGTGTTTAGAAAATATTATTTGCAAGTAATAAAATAAGGAAAAACTGATTTATATCTTCTGTGAATAGTTATATGAAAGGAATACATTAAGAATATTTTTCATCTTTCAGTACCTTAATCTCAGTATACTTTTTTCCAACCCATCTTCTGGTCAACATAGACAAGGACTTCCCTTGGTGTTCCTTCATCAGTGGCAGACACATTGCATGCTTTCTCTGTAAGGCACTGGTTTATAAGGCACTGTGGAAACTCAAAAGGAAAAAAGTACAGGATTATCTTTTAGGTTGAACCGTATGACATTGCTGGTATTTGACAGTTTTTGATCCATAAAAAAAAGCCATGTCATTTGATTCAACCTAGTAGTTGGAGAGCAAAGTAGATTCTAGGAAAACATAAGGAACCAAACAGAACACTAAATTGCAGGTTGTGGCTCAGACACTAAATAGTGTAGGAGTTTGAAGGAGAAGAGGCATTACCTTGACTGAGAAAGTTGGAAAAATCTTCACTGAATAAATAGCCAGTTTCAGTCTCTAATCAGCCAGAGAGGCTTTTACTGAATATTCAGTTTTTGCTTGCCGTTGATAATTGAATGCATCTGGAAAGCTCAGCCCTCTTCATGTAAAATTGTTGACAAGTAACCCTTGCTGGTGTTCCTGCTAAACTGTATCTGAGAATATTTATTTAGTTAATATGATGGACCTTCATGATTAATCCAGATTTCTTCTTTGCATATCCAGGGCCCATGCAGAATCTCCCCCATCAGTTAACAACCTGAAGACTGAAGGGAAGAATAAAGATGAAGGGGAGGTTTGTAACCGTGAAAAAAAGGCAGCAGATACTTCTCTTGAACCTTACCCAGAAGAGAAAAAGAAGAAACGTTCTGGATTCAGAGACAGAAAAGTATGGAACACAATCTTATAAATTGATCAGAACTATAGTTAATTCTAAAGTAGAATAACACGGTTGAGTCTCTTTGCCCAGTCGTAAAGGGAGAATAAAATCTCTTTGGAAACATATACATATTGCTACAAACCAAATCACTTTGAAGGCAGCATAAATTTCAAATGACTGTCAGCATTTTATATTGTTAACACAGCATGCTCTTATGTAGTAGCTTTACCTCAGAAAACTTTTACTTCCGCTATGATGATGCCTAGGATATTCAGCATTTGAGTTTGGAAGATGTGAGTGATGAAAAATCAAAAGGATGAAGTTCTTAGACATTTTGCATGTTCAGGTTGAAATTCAGGGAGTTGTCTTCAGTTGCTAAGCTGTAGCTTATCAATGCAACGAGATAATTGGAATTATTTCTGTGCTGTGTATGTTTATATTTGCAAGAAGAGTTCCTTTGAGAAATTTGGATCCTCTTTCTGGTTTTTATCTGTTTGGATGAAGTTGTCAAATAGATCTTCTCATTTCCCAAATCCATATCTGATTGAGATGAATTTGGGCAAAAGTCGTAGATCTCAAGTTAATCAGTCTTTAAACATCCTAGTGTTTCCGTAAGAATACATTTATTTATTTATTCTCTTGCTCTGAGCAAATTAGAAGAGAGTTCAGCTTTACCTGTGCAAGCAGTTTTATTTACAGTCAACTTTCCACTTTGCAGCCTGGAGCTAAAATAACCCGAAGTTAAATATTTAGTTTTGAACCTATTTTCTTTATCTACTCTTGCCTTCTGCTCAGTAGATGACCATGTCTCATATTCACAGAAAAATTAAAGCTATCAGTATAATTCCCTTACTTTCTAACTCTGATAGCTATAGAATCTATCTAAGTCTGTGTATGAAATAATTCTTATTTCTTTCACCAAAGTCTCAGGGGAAGAGCTGTCTTTTCCCTGTTCAAGGCTAATCATCCCACATGTCAAACCCATCCTGTCTCCTCAAAAACTTTTTTCCATCGCTTACTCTTTTTATTTTCTGTTTGTTTAGTCTTTACTCATTCTTTTACATAGTTTATATGTAAAGATGTTCTATTTTAAAGATTCTTCTATCTTTAAATTTGAGAAACCATGTTTGTGATTATGCATGGTTTCTTAGCTACTGTCCCGTTCACTTTCTTACCCTTCACAAGCTCCTCTAGTCTCTACATGCTGTCCTCCACATCCTCACTTTTCATTTATGCTTTTTTTGTTCTTTTCTTTTTATGTAATATTTTAAATATTCAGAAAAAATAGAGAGTAATATAAGGAACATTCATGTACTCACCACTCAGCTCTGTCAAATTTTAACATTTTGCTATATTTGCTTCAGATTTTTAAAAAATGAATATAAAAAATACAGCTGAAACTACTTGTACACTCCTCCCCAATGCCATTCTTCTTCCATCCTCCTCAGAGATAAACCACTGTCCTGAATTTGCTACTTATAATTCCCATGTATGGACTGATTGTTTTGTGTGTTTTACTTTATTTTAATTTTTAAAAAATTCTTAGGTGCACAACCAAAAAATATATATGTAGGTGTATACGTACATCACTCTGAGTCAGATTTGACTTGACAGCAACAGGTTTGGGTTTTGGTTTATATATGTATGTATGTAGGCATATATGTGTATAGGTATGTATATGTGAAGTATATATGTGTGTGTATATAGGTGTCTGTATATGTATGTATGTGTGCATATGCGTATATATTCATATATGTAATAAAGCACATAGAGGGCACAGTTACGGCTCATTTTGTATGGGAGCTTGTTGAGCTTTTTGTTTTATTTTGTTTTATGCTTTTTCCTATTTAGTGGTTTTGTGGCTGCTTCACTCACCTGTGAGGCCTGGTTTGTCAAGAACTAGGTCTTATATTGGCAGCTCTGGGCTTGCATCCCATTGTATTAAAGATTCAGTCACTGAGCCCACAAGCAGTTTGGCCCAGATTCTAGGAGCAAAGCTATGGATTATTCCACTTGATGCCTTAGGTATAGAGTTTCATATGAACATTACCCCTATGTAGCAACTGCCTAAACCTTCTTCACCCTCTTTGCATGGTTAAAAGAGGCTCTGCACCAGCTACTGGTTTTATGCAGTGAACTTGGCTGAGGGCCCATGCCTCATTTTGGGCACACTTACAGCCCATTTCATAAGCTGTGAACCCCTAACCTGGTTTGCCTATTTTCAGACTAGAGTACTAAAGACATAACTTTAGTTCTTCCCGTCTACAGTATTATTTCTGTTCAGTCCCTGATACACAGAGATAATTATCTTGCTTTGAACCGCTTATGGCGTTTTAATTTTCCCATTTTATGTTTTATCAATCTTTGCTGTGTTTTTGGAGCACAGAAAGATTAAAACAGAAAATTCTAACTTAATTAGAATTCTCACTGTCATTTCTGTACTTTTCAGATAGAAAATTGCTCTTTGAATTGTGAGATTCATTTCCAGAAAGTGTTGCTGCCTCTTAGACTTTTGCTCAGTAAAGACCTCCTTGTTCATTATTTTTACATTTCTGGCAGCTTTGCCTACACTGTCATTTCTGAGCTCTCAGTTTGTTTGAGGCAGGGTTTAGTGGCATCTTCATTTTAAAAAGGGAGATTACTTAAATAAAATGATTATTTTTAATTATTTTATTTAAAAAGGCCAAATTATTTGTTTCATTGCAGTTGTAAATAATTTAAATTGGTTGAATACTAAAAGATATAAAACATGCTAAACAAATTGCTAAGAAAACTGATCAGGTGACTGGAAACCCATCTCAGTTTACTTAATACATAAATAACAGAATGAATAGGGATAGGGAAAGGAAAAGAAACTAACATTTATTGAGCATTTTCTATGTGCCAGACACTATATGTGTGTGTGTTTGTATGTGTGTGTGTGTGTATGTGTGTGTATATATATATATATAATTTCATCTAAATCTTTATTTGATAGATGAAGAAACTGAAGCTTGGAGCAATTAAGTAACTTGTCTAAAGTCATACAGCTGGTTACTGATAGAAGCAGGATTCAAACATGTATCTGTATAACTCCAAACCCCTTGCTTATTCCATTGCATTCTTCTGATATAACATATTTTGCTTATAAGGCTTTGTTCATGGTGTACCATGGTCAGTTAATGTCATGCTTTCAGCTTGGGTTCCTAATGGCTTCCTACAAACCTGAAACACCTACTCTGAACTATTCTTGAATGAGAAACATACTTTCATTTTATTTGGGCCATTGCATTTTGGGGTCTATTTGTAATAGCAGTTTAACCTACAGTAATTAATATACTCATTTTAAAAGAGAGGCCAAGAATTGAGGTCATTAGGCCACAGAGATTTTTCAGCATGGACAAAAATACAGAAGACATTTTCATAAACTTGTTTTTATTATCAATAAGACACTGTAAATTGAAAAACATGTTCTTTAATTATGTTGATACTGATTTTCAATGACATTTAAGAATGTCAGTATAGGAACTTTTGTTATGTGTTATTAGTTTCACTGCCAAAAATTAATCTGCTTTTTTACCGAATGAGATTGGTGTCATAGAACTTCGATTTTAAGAGGTCATCCTGTGACAGCTGGTGATTATTCTGGGTGGCTGCAGATTGACTAGAGAAAAAAAGAGAAGGAGTTTTCCTAATATGGAGGATAAATGTTGGATTACACATTAGGTGTTATAGGCCATCTCTTGAGAGAAAGCATGCTAGACACAAAGAACATTTACAAAATCTTTCTGCCTGCTACCTTTTCAAGCTCTGGCCCTACCCTGCATTCCAAGCCTCATGCATTATTTCTGACATCAGGGCCCACAGGGATTCACTGTCACTATTAATGTTCAGTGCCTGCATCTGTTAATTCATTGGTTAATTCAATTCATTTGCTATTGCAAAATGATGATATTCTAACTTTATCATGTCTTTTATCATTCATATATTTCATTTAGTTCTCCTTAGCTCTATTTGGTTACAACTGCTATTTGGCTACTCTTTGTTACAGTTCATATAGGAAACGTAATGCCTGAATTTTGACCAAACTAAGCCCTGTAGTTTTATTGAAGATAACTGTCTTAATGTAATTATTCTCATGAAAGTTTTGTTAAGTAAATTTTTGAATGAATTATCATGATTCCCTTAGAATATTTTCTCTGGGCTAAACATACCAAAATCCTGTAGAAGTTTTCTATATATCTTAGCCTTTAAGCCTTTGTTGTCTTGGATGCTGTATTCTGAACCTTTGTATAATAGTTTGTTAGTGTTCTTTTAAGGAACCCTGGTGGCACAGTGGTTAAGCTCTTGGCTGCTAACCGAAAGGTTGGTGGTTTGAACACAACAGCTGCTCCTCAGGAGAAAGATGTGGCAGTCTGATTCCATAAAGATTATAGCCTTGAAAACCCTATGGGGCTATTCTACTCTGTCCTATAGGGTCACTATGAGTTGAAATTGACTCGACGGCAGTGGGTTTGGAGTGTTCCTTTTAACGTGACTATTTAAAGGAGGCAGCTCCGTGTCAGTTGATATGGAATGATCTTTAAGTTACATTGCTAAGTGAGAAAAAAGCAAAATATTTACTATACAGTTTTTCTAGACTAAAACTTTTTAGCCATGTAAAATGATTGGTTTATATTAATGATATAGTAAAATGTACATGTAATGGCCCAAATTGTGACCAAATTAATAATATTCAGCAGCATATGATAATATTCAGTGGCTCTTTTAACAGTCCAGGAATCTGATTTTCAGTCTTAAAAGTATTCTTTTTTTTTTGTAATTGTACTTCAGGTGAAGGTTTACAGAACAAATAGTTTCTCATTAAACAGTAGTGCACATATTGTTTTATGACATTGGTTAACAGCCCCACAACATGTCAACGTTCTCCCTTCTTGACTTTTTTTTTTT